TGTGAGATCCTTCATCTTCAGTCGTTACAATCTTACAGTCGCTCCAGAGTGATGGCTACAGAGCCTGTAAGTGTGAGATCACTCCAGGCTGTTCCTCCAACCCCTCAAAGGAGCTGGTCCTCGGGGATGGATGGGATTTCACTGCATTTCCCCATTTCATTTGTGTAATGAAATCGTCATTTGGCCTCCATTCTGCACTTTGTCCTTTTGGTTTTAAGGTGGACTGTTCAGTAGCCCCCCCTCCTCCTTTTCTAGAAAACCTAGAGACTTTAAGTAAACGCTCATGGTGTCTCACACTTTGATCTCCCCACACCTGTCAGTAAGCCTTACTGCAGTACATATACTCCACGTGTCTCTATGCATGTGGGGATAGATTGTGCACATCGCTAATGTACGTGCTTAGTCAAACTCACATCGCAACCTGAAAATATATCTCTTAGTCATGTCATCACATTATCCTTGTGCAGTCAGATTGGAACCCGCAGAGCAGCATACAACCAAACCTGTCTTCCCTGGAATCCTCCGGGAGATTTGTTAAACTGGAGGCTACTTGGTTAATTACTTCACTCATTACTGTAATCAGTACCTGAAAGAAACAACTGAGAAGGGGTGTGTGCATGTATGCGTGTGCATGCACGCGTGCATGTGTGTGCGTGCGTGTATGTGTGCATGCATATGCACACACACGTGTGTGTGTGTGTGTGTGTGTGTGTGTGTGTGTGTGTGTGTGTGTGTGTGGTACAGTCCACCACGGAGGACAAGACCGAGTGGTGGGCCGCTGCATGGCAGAAGGAGAGGAAGGCGTGGCTGGACTGCTCAGATCTCAGGGGGCCGGGGGTAGGGTAAGGGCTGCAGGAAGGGCTCCACCACAAATGCAAAGACCCTTTCTCCGGGTTTCCATTTCCTCCACTGAGCCCCACCTCCCAAAGCTTCTACAATCTCCAGGGACAGCACCACCAGCTGGGGACCAGGTGAGTGACATTTCACATTCAGACTTAATAATGACCAGACGTCACTGCAGAGCTACTGAATCAGACCCTGGGAGGAGTTCAAAACTATGCAATCGTATAAGGGCTATCATGTTTGGAAACAAAAGTCAAACAAAAGACACTGCCTTATAGGACTGCTTCAGCTGAATGGCAGAAGTGTGTCTATACATGGACTATTTAGGAGAAAGTGAATGTTAAACCGAGAGGTCCCCCGAAAGGGGCCCCGACCTGTGATTCCAGCTATTGCTCCCCTCCTCCCCTAGCTACAAGTGGGAGATGGTGGACTGTATAAGAAGCACAAGTTTAAAAGTGGGATTCCATAATGGAGCCCGACAAGGTCATCATCTATGACAGGGCAAGACTTGTGGTGATGCAGCTCTTTAGGGGCTACCCACACTCCTGTGAGAAACGCTTCACCCATGCTCTGTAAGAAAATCTAACAAACTTATTGGTCTCACCAAGTTGGACTTTGGTGAAACAGTACTTCAATCTGTCACTGTTGCCCATCTAGAGTGAACAGACGTTCCTTCTAGAGTCCCAGAAAAGTTAACACAACAAACGCAATGACAGAAAAATGCACATGCAAAGACTGCACACGTTTAATGAACTCTCATTCTCCATGTCATCACCCTTTGAAAGGAGACTCTAGTAACGCACAGGGAAGTAGGGAGCTGCCCGGGCTTTTTACCAGCATGAAGTGAAAGCCAGTGCTTCCGTGAGACAGAAACAAGGCAGGAAACACAAATCCTCCCAGCCGCTTGCCATCCTCTCTTACATCTTAAGTCTACGGTGGAAAGTCATCTGAGTAGACACATGCACCAGGGCTTACTGAAGTTTCCTGCTCCACACTGCAAATCGTAACGGTGATCTCACGCACAAGGGCCGTCCGCCTGAATGACTGCATTCACCTTACTGACCCCTCCCTTCTTTTTCACACCAGTGACGTGAGCTGCCAGGTGATCTCAGGGGAGTAACTGCAACCTTGCAGTGCCTCTCAATCTCAGTGCAGTCCAGGAAGGACCTGGGTCACGTGTGCTAATCTCAGGTTAGGTGACAGTCTCAGATTTGATTAAGTAACAGTCGCACACAGAAGTGCGGGCCACTGTGTTCTAGACATCGAGACATACTTCCTGCAGAGAAAGGGTCCCCTCTGAGTCACTCACAGGTAGAGGCCTTGTTGCCCGTCTCCAAAGGTGGCTATCCTCAGTCAGTAAAACAGGCCAAGACCCACGAAAAAGAAAGACGTTTCTGAGTTGAAGCGTCACTTCCGCACCTGCGGACAGGAGTGGCTATTAACAGCCCTCTGTCTCCGTGACTCTCAACACGGGTCACGGGATAATTGGGATAAAAATGAAAGCACTAGAACAGGCCAGGGAAGAACGCACATGTTAGTGCTGTTTTCTTGGAAATCACAGCCAGGCCAAAAAAAAAATATATATATATATATATACCGCCATCCCAACCCACGCTTTCACATACTGCTAAATATATACGTGTGCAGGATTACCGCCAGGTTGATTAGGTCAGTGTCTCTGAGTCACATTCAAAATGGTGCTGTCCCCGCCCCCCACAAACTGGTTTCAGTACATATCCCCAATTCATGGGATTCATTTCCAAAGAACACTTGGAACTGAGTGTGAGGATTCTCTGCAAACCTACCTGGCTTCTAAAAAATCCGCGTCTGTTTACCCCCCCTCCCCGCCCCCTCCCCACTCCCTGCCAAAGCTGAAGTGTTACTCGGTACGCGACAGTGCTGACCTGTGACACACACACAGGTCAGATGCAATGCCCTGGCATGTCTGTCAGCAGATGGCAGGCAGACAGATGGCAGGAGAAGACCGCCCTCACACGCGTGGCTTACAGAACACATGTGCAAGGTTTCAGAAGACACGCTGTTGATCTATAGGCAAACTCCCTCCGGGATTAAAGGTGAACAAGAAGGAGAGCTGCCCGGTACGACACAGAGCACCCACCCGTGGTAATTAACACAGCGATTAGCGAAAGGCACAGAACACACACAAGGCATCGTGACAAGTAAAAGCTTCAGCCGGCTGGCTGTGTTCATTGAGTCCCAGTTGGGAGTAAATAAACTTAACAGTAGCAATCAATTGTAATCAAAGGTAGTAATTCATATAAATAGGTACAACTGCGTCTTAAAAACAGTAGCTGGACAGCCGAGCTGCACAAGAATTTTTCACTCCTCCCTTATAGTTACATCAGTACAAGTACAGAAGCACAGATGAAAATGAAGCCATTAAGAGCTGTGGTTCTCAACCATCCCAGTGCTACGACCCCTTAATGTAGCTTCTCATGCTGTGGTGACCTCCCACCGTAAAATTATTTCCATTGCTACTTCATAACTGTAATTTTGCCACTGTTGTGAATCATTATGTAAATATCTGTTTTCTGGTGGTCTTAGGTGGCCCTTGGGGAAGAGTCATTCGACCCCTAGAGGTAAACCCACAGGTTGAGAACCACTGCGTTAGAGTGTCGTGAGCAAGCATAGGAAAATGCCATCTCCAGGCTGGTGAAGTGACTGTCAGCTGATGGTGTGTGTCGCCACGCTGAGTTTGACCTCTGAGACCCACACATTGGAATGGAGAGACCAACTCTTACCAGTTTTCCTCGGACCTCCACATGCTTGCATAAGCCCCACCTCAACAAAGTGAATAAATAAATACAACTTTAGAAAGAAAAATCAGAATTTCTAAGTTAGAGCTTTCCATAGATAAGACAAGACCCAGAAATCCACAAAATAATTGAGCAATCTGACTGTGTCAAAGTACATCTTCACAGTTGCTCACAACTCTCTTCCTGGATACACGAAGAAACTCCCAAGGCAAACAACAAAGAGAATGGTATGTGTACAACTTTTAATGTGCAGGGATAACATAATGGGTCCTTAAAAGTCATTATTGTAAAAACCTCAATGAAGCAGTCAGATAACAGCAGATATTTAAACATTTTTTAAAACCATGTTCTGGACTAAGGGTGAGTCATGGGTGAGTGCCTGTGACACAGACCTAAGAACCTGGGTTTAGATCTCTAGAAAACCCAGACTCAGTGCATTTGTAGTGCAAACACTTGGGGACAGAGACAGGCACGTGCGGGGTGCACTGGCCAGCCAATCCTAAATCCTCAAGTAAAGACACAGAAGGATAACTCACGGTCAAAGTCTTGAGGCAGAAACATGTTACCACCATGAAGCCACAGTCTGAAGTCACTGAATTCTACAGCAATTCTTGCTGTTGGGGTGATAGTAGTGATACTCTTTTTTTTTTTTTTTTCGAGACAGGGTTTCTCTGTGTTGTTTTGGAGCCTGTCTTGGAACTTGCTCGGTAAACCAGGCTGGTCTCAAACTCACAGAGATATGCCTGCCTCTGCCTCCCAAGTGCTGGAATTAAAGGTGTGTGCCACCAACGCCTGGCATGTAGTGATACTCTTACAACTAGCTAATCAGCAGTAGCCCTGCCTTTCAGGAAACCAGCCAATCAGCAGCAGCCCAGGCCTCTGAAAACCAGCCAATCAGCAACAACCCAAGCTTCTCAAACTAATCAACCCATGAGAGGCCGGCAAACTGCCATCGCTAAACTCCACACTCAACCAATCCCTGGACATTTTTCTCACACTCAATGTTCACAAAACCGTACATAAAATCAGCGCAAACAGCAAGCAAACTTGTGAAGGGCAATGACATCACAGAACAGAGGAATTGGGAGAATCCAAATACTACTCAGGAGTGAAACCAAGAAAGCAGCTTCTTGTACCCCTGAAAGGCTTCAGGCCAAGCCGGGAGGCTCCACAGAGGCCGGAGGCTCACACAGCCCTTCCAGCCGCCTAGACGCACAGAGCAACAGGGATGTTCTCTGCAAAATCCCAAACACACGGCGCATGTTTGCTCCTCACCCATTCTCAAGCAAACCTGGTAATAAGAAAGCGAACACTTTGCTTCGTTTGAGCTCAGCTCTGTCCTCTGTGACACACTATGAAGCCAGAAAAGAGTTCACTTACAGTTCAGTGTCCAGCAGGAATGTCACACTCGCCGGATCACTCTTACAGCTTAGGGATGTGTGATCTTGGAATTCCAGTGCCAAACTGCACATTGTCTTTTCCAACTGGAGAAGTCTGTGAAGGGGGAGACAGCAGAGCAAGTGAAAACATGCTGCTTGGAGGCCAGGCCAGGCTCTGGCCGAGGATTCAACAACCACTTACATGATCCAGAGTCTTTTTTTTTTTTTTTTTTTTTTTTTTTTACGAAACAGGGTTTCTCTGTATTGTTTTGGAGGCTGTCCGTCCAGCCTGGCCTCGAACTCACAGAGATCCGCCTGCCTCTGCCTCTCGAGTGCTGGGATTAAAGGCGTGTGCCACCACCGCCCGGCATGATCCAGAGTCTTAAACAGAAAATGGCGCCCTTAATACTGACCCGATACTCAGACTGCACTGTGCTGAGCAATAGAGTCAGGTCCAGAGCTCCAGGTGCGCATCAATGCTAAAGGAACGTACAAGGTGTTTTAAAATTATTATGTCGCTTAGTATAACTTTAATCCAGACCCTCCTTAGACCTTTTCTTCTTAACACGGGTTATGTTGGTTATGGAAGAAAATGACACCATAGACACAGTTTCTCCCGCAGTTCGTTCACCGATGGTTTCACTAAAAAAACAAAACAAAAACAAAAACAAACAAACAAAAAAACTAACATGATTTGAAGGCTCCAGCAACTGCACTGAAATCCAAACTTCCTCCAGCGTATGGAGTTGCTGTTTTTAGGACCGAACTTTCAAATACATTTGTGTTTCTTTTCCTATTTAAAAAAAAAAAAAACTCATCCAAATAATCCCATCCGTTGTCCGCTGAGGTTTCAGCACCTGACCAGTCTTCCTCAATTTAAGCGGGAATTACAGCTCCCTCTGAATGCTAACATCAGATGGTCTGCTAATTATCTTTTTAAATGAACAACAGCCTTGACACGGTTCTGTTTCCGGGAGTCTCTGAGGGCTCAGCTACCACGACGCTGGCTGCAGCCTAGCATTTTGGAGGCGAAGGACTAAAACCTATGCAAAAGCCTGTGATGAAAGAATGGTAGGATAAGCTTGGGATGCCCGCCACCCTCACACAGTATTAACCAGCCATCCAAAGACATTAAATATGATGAAAATTTTGTCATGTTTTTGTTGGTGCCATGATTTTTGCATTAGAAGAAATAAGATCTAGAAGGGTGTACAACGTGATTCTTGTCTTCCAGAAATTAAAATTAAAGGTAAAATGAAGCCTTCACTTTTTGTTGTTGTTGTTCCCGCATAGGCATTTGGAACACCTGGAAGTGATGAATCTGCCTGTGAAAACCTGCAGGATGGCAGGCGAGATGGCCCAGCAGGCAAACCACACAAGCAAGGACAAGGGTTCGAGTCTTCAGCCCCCGTGTAAGTTCCGCGCAGGCATGACAGCCTTGCTTGCTGTACTCCCAGCTCTCGGTAGGCAGAGACGGGAGATTCCAGGGGCACGCTGGCTGGTGAGGCCAGCGGTATGAGCCAGCTCTGGGACCAAGTGAGAGACCTGCCTCAGTGAATGAGGAGGAGAGCGGTGCAGAGAAACTCCCACTGTGAGCATCAGGCGTCCACGCGCACACACGTGCACGCCCGCTCTCACACACGCACACACACACACACACACACACACACACGCACGCACGCACGCATGTCCCCGCACATGTACAAAAACACAGCAAAACCCTCGAAGGAGAATGCCATTAGCAGCTAGCGGGTGAAGATCAAGGACACAGCTGAACACCCTGCGGTGCGCAGGGTCATGTATGTCCCAAGAAAAAGAATGTCAGGTCCAGTGTAACAGCACGGCTGAGACTAAGACACTTCGGCGTGCGTAATGACCGCATGATGCCATGGTGATTAAGTTCGGAAATGGCAAAGAAAAGATCGTGGCAACCGGCACACCAGGCTGCCCACATAACCCGTCTTGGAGAATAGGAGCAGAGATGAGGGCTGAGTTGGAAGGAGAGGAGGTGCCCATGCTGTGATATTGTCTTCCTTCTCGGGCCCGAACCAAAGAAAACACGACCCGCCCACCAGTTTCCCATTATCCTCTGGCTTCTTCATCCTGGACCCTTAGACACAGCTCAGCGAGGGAACCTCACTGAAAACTGACTTTGCCCAGATCCAAGATTATAAGCGGAAGCTGGGGCAAACCCAACTTACAGGTCACGAAGGTTAAGGAAACGATAACTTGGCCGGCGTGACCTCTGGCAAATCTGTGCACAGCAGTGCTTGGACTCCTGTGGATAATCTAAATTAACACACGTTAACCTCGGCGCCTTCCAACCTTCATATCAGGGGTGTGGTATTTTTATTGCACTCGAGGGAATTCAGTTTTAGACAGAGCAGCAGGCCACGAATGTGGCAAGTGAGTCACTGACTTCGGACATATGAGCACACTCCTTTTGCTATTCATTTCCTGCAGGTTAACTTACATCCTTGCCAGGGAGAACACACGGCCCCCATCAGGCCCTCCTTATCCGCGGATATACATCCCAGTGTGAAAGTGCCTGCTGTTCTTCTCCTACATGTTCATGCTCGTGATAAAGCCTGACCTACAAGGTAAACACAGTAAGAGCAGTCACCAACAATAAACATGCTCAATTATAACACAGCCGTGACAAAGTCAACACGGCCCTGTGCTTGGGCTTTGAGACAATTAAAGTAAAATAATAAACTGAGGAGTTTTTGAAGACGTTTGCAAACATGAAGTACTACAAAGCATCAGGCAAGCTCTCTCTCTCCCCTCCCTCCCTCCCTCCCCCTCCTCTCTCTCTCTCTCTCTGTCTCTCTCTGTCTCTCTGTCTCTCTCTCTCTCTCTCTCTCTCTCTCTCTCTCTCTCTCTCTCTCTCTCTCTGTTCACTTCATGCATATGGAATCCAGGGAACTGCTTTCGATGCTGTCTGCTTTACTTTTTGAGGCAAGGTCTCTCATTGATCTGGGGCTCACTAAGGAGGCTGGCCAGAGAGCCAGAGGGGGTCCACTGCTCTCCACCTCCCCATTGCTTTTGATGTGGGCTTTGGGGATGAGACTACGGCCCTTGCACTTATGAGACGAGCATTTTAAAACCTGAGGCATCTCCCCAGATCTCTAAGTTCTTTCTTGCTTACAGCCCCATGGGCATCCTATGTAGCTAGAGTTGTCCCCAGCCAAGGAAGGACACAGAGGGCATCCTGAAGTAAGCCATGAAGTAGCAGCACTCAAGTGGCAAGTGGGGAGAAGCCACCCTTGAATGTCACATGTCACTTGTATGGATAATACATATAGACGAAACCCCAGGAAGCCACTGGCTGCTATGGGAAGAAAATACATTCTCTCATTTGTCTGTGAAAGAATATAAAGTTATTGTGATTTCTAACTCTTCCAGACTCCCAGCCTTCCACTGAGTTTCACACCCCTCCTCTGAAGCCCCGGGATAATCGAGAATCACTCCTTTCTCTCCATCACTCAGTGCTATTCTCTCTCTCTCTCTCTCTCTCTCTCTCTCTCTCTCTCTCTCTCTCTCTCTCTCTCTCTCTCTCTCTCTCTCTCTCTCTCTCTCTCTCTCTCTCTCTCTCTCTCTCTCCCTCTCTCTCTCTCTCTCCCTCTCTCTCTCTCTCTCACTCTGCCTCCCTCCCTCCCTCCCTTCAACCTTCGCCACCCTTCTCTCCCTATATCTTCACAGCCGTATTTTACTCTGGGGTATTTCCTCACTGGCCTCAAAAGCTCAGTGATTCTCAGCATGGAGGCACATGAGGGCTCTCTGTACACACACGTTTCTGCCCCCCTGCCTCCTTAAAGACTGACCTTCCGCAGCCATCCCTGAGACACACGTGATCCGGATCCGAGTGCTGACTTTCTGACGTCCCTTCAGTGTTGGCATCTTCTGACTCAGAGACTTCAGCATCGTTCACATGGCTGTCTCTGTCCTGTCCTGACTTACAGGGTGTACCTGGCCTCTCCTCTCCACCTGGCACGACACAGGCATAGGACTATCAGAGGAGACTCTGAGGATGGGCTCACGGAGGCCAAGGCTGCGGCTCCCCCCACAACCACTCATGGAGAGTTGGTCCTCAGTGAGTTGTCGAGGATGTACAGTGGAGGGAGGCGTCAGGACAGACTGGCAGTCTTGGCAATGGAGCCAGTCGTGGTGAATGATGTGCTTGCCCACTGTCTATTGTCCCCAAATTCATCCTAAGGCCTCTTCACATAATCAGCCCAGCTCTAGAGTACACACGAGCTTCTTGTACGTGCCTGAGGCCAGCGTCAAGGTCTGTCTATGCACACAGGCACACACATGCACACACGCCGTACACAATCTATTATCTGTGTATGTTTCACAGGGTGGACGTTAGGGCTGGGAGCTGGAGACGAGAAGCCCGTCGGAAACATCTCCTTGTCCTGCCGTGTCCCCGCGTCTGGTCTACCTTCCCTCTGCTCCGCTGAGGTGCCTCTCGGGAGCCCACCTCAATGTGGCCCTGCCAGCTTTCAGGACTGCATCCTTTGCTGAGTTGTTCACATCTCCTCTGACGTCCCCTCCTTCCCGAAGCCTCTTCTCACCACTGTCTTGCCTGTAACTGGCCCTCGGGCTCGGGCACCCCGGACATACGCTATTCAGCTTCATAATTTTTTCCTGTAGCGTAGACCACCGCCTGACACGCCATCATCAAAGCTCACTTGGCTATGGACTCCCTGGCCTGGGCTCACCCTTCCTCAATACGATGGTTAAAATTGGTCGTCAGCCTTCCAGGACCTAGGATCACCTAGGGGACAAAGCCTTGGATACGTCTGTGAGGGACTGTCTTAGGTTGGGTTGACAAGGTAAGAAGACTCACTCTAGATATGGGTGACAACATCCCACGCACTGCTGTCCTGAACTGAAGAAAATCGGTGACAGGGGCTGGACATCAGCATCCGCCTCTCTCTGCGTCCTGACTGAGGGTCTAATGCGACCAGATGCCCCCCACTGCTGCCACCCGCCTTCCGTGCCTCACGGACTGTACGCTCAGACTGGGAGCCTGGTAAACTCTTCTGTGCGGGCTGGTTTTGTGTGTCGACTCGAGACAAGCCAGAGTCATCGGAGAGGAAGGAGCCTCAGCTGAGGAAATGTCTCCATGAGATCCATCTGTAAGGCGGTTTCCCAATTAGCGATCGATGTGGGGGGGGGCCCAGACTATGGTGGGTAAGGCCATCCCTGGGCCTCTGGTTCTGGGTTCTATAAGAAGTTGGGCTGTTCAAGCCTGAAAAGAGGAGAGAGCTGACATGGACTGTTCTTCCCCAAAGAGATCCCAGGAAAGTAGCAGTGTACTCTGCAAAGGGCATAACTGGTTCAAGGAACGAGAGTGAACGGCTCACACCCAGCGATGCTGTGCGTTAAGGACCCCGGCCTCCCTCCCCTGCTGCTCGTGCCTCTGAACAGTTAACACTGGAAACACAAGCATGGTTCTGACACCTTACCCCAAGCCCCTGGGGCAATTAACCTCCTTCCTTCAAGGCTCTCATATTCGTCTTTTCTTTAATTAAATTTGCTCTCTGACAATTTCATGTATGTACATGATGCATTCTAATTGGCCTCCTCTCTCCACCCTTTCCCATTTATACGTCCTTTGTTCTCTCTTGTGACCTGCTGAGTCTAACTGGGACCAAGCGAGATCAAGGTGCTATCTATCCAGTGGACTCCTCCATTCTCCACACGTCCTTCTAAGCTCCTTGTGCGGTTTCCGTTACCCAGCCCGCGACACCATCTCACTGCTTCGTGCTTAGCTGAACACACAGTGAGCATCCCAGATGTTAGGAACAACCGGGCACCAGATATTCTCCATATCACAGCACTGAATGCATCATCACAATGTTTCCCAGCCGATACTGGTTTCCAGCTATGAGTGTGACCAAGTTGGGAGAGTGTCACGGAGACTAAACAGCTTTCTTCTTGATAATGGAACACAGCATGGCTGATCCCTGAGTCCACTCTGTCTCATTGTGAGTCAGTGTAAATCACAGCGACCCGCATGTGCCTCCGCATGGTGACCGCGCTGAGGGGCCGAGAAATGAGGGCGGTTTGGACAAGGCCAGAGCTCAGACATTGGGAGAAGCTTTCTGTTTGAGTATATGACTTACAAAGTTAATTATTTTCAGATTTTTAGCCCACCCCACCAATACTGTCATCATTTTTAGAGATTTTGTCATGTAGCCCAGGTTAACCTCAAACTAGGGACCCTCCTACCTCAGCCTTTTAAGTGTTGGGGATTTGGGCACATACCATCATACCTGACCATAATTCTTGCTTCTCTTTTAGTTTTTTTTTTTTTTTTGGTTTTACGAGACAGGGTTTCTCTGTATTGTTTTGGAGGCTGTCAGTCCAGCCTGGCCTCGAACTCACAGAGATCTGCCTGCCTCTGCCTCCCGAGTGCTGGGATTAAAGGCATGCGCCACCACTGCCCGGCCAATTCTTGCTTCTCAAAACCAAATCATACTGTTCTCTCAAGACCAAATGAGACAAAATGTGGGAAGCATATTCTTCCTGTGTCTGACCAAAAGGCGGTACATAAATGAGTCATCAACTAAACACCAGGAGGTGCCCAAGCAGTCACATACAGTGAGTACTAAGCATCCCCAGTATCAGACCTGTGAGCTTCTGTAAACAGAACCTCTTAAACTGTAACCAATGAACATCTCTGATCCACTTTGCCTTGGAAACAGGGTATCAAGGTCAAATATAATATTCCCAAATTGTCTCAGACCCAGCTACTTCCAGCCACCATGAATGCCCTTGGGGATGGCTGGGAGGATGGCAATATCTCATAGTGGCTGGTGGTGACCTTGAGCTCTTCCAGACAGTGTCAAGAACAAGGGCCCCGCCCTCCACATGAATACAGTGTAAGAACCACTGAGATTCGGGTTCTCTTAAATGTGACAGTTCCCTTTTCCAAGGAGCAGGCTCCTAGATCTAGTCTACAATAACAGTAAGCGTTGACAAACGATGGATGTGCTTTTATTTTGAATGTGCCCCCACTCAAGGCTTGGTAACCCAAGCTAGAAGGAATGCTAATGGCAATAGAGGAATCTGTCTTCTGGGTCAGCCATCATAGATGCCCCTGGAACTAGGATCACTGGTCCTCAGATGTCACAGTGATGGCTGCTGAGTGATAGATGGCTTTTACAACAGGGAAGCAAAGGAAGGTTTGTGAGGCCACTGGAGCGTGGCTGTCACTACTCATAATTCTCTCCATCATGTGGACAGAAACCTCTCACTCTGAACGCACGGAATGTCTCTCAAATGTAAGTCATTCATTTTCCTCTAACTTCCAAAACACATATTCTTCTCATAAAACAATCAAATATTCACAGATACTGTATCTCTTGCTCGTGTGTGTATAAAACAAACATTTCCTCTCTGTCTCTGCTCTCCCCATCCTCTTGTAGAATACGTATCAGTCCCGGTTGAAATGCCCCACAAGGCCAGTCCTGTCTTGTTTTGCAGTACCAAAAGCAACCATCCTGGCCTTCCAGGAATCACAAATATTTAAGATTTCGCAAGCACTGTACTTTCAAAGTTTGGAAATTCTAGATCTGTACAAAAGACTATTTCGAAAGCCCCTCCCCAAGTAACCATGAGTCAAATGCGGTGTGGAAGCGTCAGGGCAGCCTATCTAAATGGAGCAATACTGTCTGTCACACAGGCCCCGTCTTCCAGCACAAGATGCACCTGGAGACCCAAGCCGATGTGAGGCTCCCGCTGCTGTGTCTCTCTCTGAGGATCTGTTCTACCCTCACGAATGCTGTTGACAGTCTTGGCTCCTCCTCAGAAAGGGGTTCAGTCCTTGAGACACGTGGCCCTGACACCGACCTGTCTCAGTAGAACATGGCCAGGCGCACACGACTATCAAAGAGTTATACCCATGTAAGTCACAGCAAGCAGAGTCAGAGAGAGGGCTGCCTTGTAAAGGGCTTGCTGGGCAGGTATGAGGACCTGAGTTCAGATCCCCAGCACCCCTTGTCTTTGGCACAGGGGCCTCTCTCAGGAGGAGGCAGGCCAACCCCAGAAGCTCCCTAGCCAGCCATCCTAGCCTAACACTGAGGAAAGGACTGAGAATGACAACCAACAGTGACCTCTGCACCCCTAACCAACACACACACACCACTCTAAAACACACACACATACTAAACCACATACACACACTCTAAAACACACACACCTATGCATATACACACTAAAATACATACATACTAAACCACATACACACATATACACACACACTCTAAAACACACACATACTCTAACACACACACATATTGAACCACATATACACACTCTAAAACACACACACATACTAAACCATATACACACACTCTAAAACATGTACACATGCATACATACACTAAAACACACACATACTAAACCACACTCATACATAAATATACACACACACTCTAAAACACACACACACACACACACACACACACACACACACACACACGCACACCTCACTAAACCTGGAAACATAGTAAACTATTCACAGATTGTGTAAAGAACCCTGTAAGATGAAATGCCTGGGACCTGCATCTTGAGCCTGATCTGACCCAGAGCCAGAGGCCCTCAGACACATGGAAGAGTGAGTCCCTTCCAGTAACTACTTGAAGGTCTATGAAGAACCTGGCAAGACTCCACAGGTGGCCTGTAGATTACAGATCTCAGCAGACCGTCCATGTAGCACTATAGGGGAACAAAACGGGCCGGGGGACGTGTCGCTTGCTACAGTGCTGGCCCAGCAGACATGGAGCTTTGGCCTCCATTCCCAGCAGCACAGGATCCAGGCAGAGTGATGCGAGTCTGTAATCCTAGCACTTGGGAGGTGCAGGCAGGAGGTCCCTCCAAGGTAATCTGCAGCTACAGAAAGAGTTTGGGGACAACCTAGGTTACATGAGACCCTGCCTTGCAAGGAAGGAAAGAAGGGAGGGAGAAAGGAAAGAAAATTTGAAAGCAATTTATTTCCCATAATTCAAACAAGGATTATCTACCTTCTGTGTGCTCCCTCCCTCCCTCCCTCCCTCCCTCCCTCCCTCTCTCTCTCTCTCTCTCTCTCTCTCTCTCTCTCTCTCTCTCTCTCTCTCACACACACACACACACACACACACACACTTTCCAAAGTGGAAACATACTATCAAAAAGGAAACCTCTAGCTGGATAATCAAATCTCCTATCAGTAACTAACCATCTTTATTTCATATGATTTTTCCAAACTACCCACACGGACGCAACTAAGCAACTATACCATCTTTTCAGAGACTTGCTTTCAACCACCCATTTCCAGAATCCTCTTGCTCTTTCCTAACCCATGAACATCCCAGAAGAACAGAGGGATCTGCCCACAGAGAAGCCCCCGGGCCTCCTTGTGACTAGCTACGCTGGGACCAGCACTTAGGAATATGCTCTCGGTTGCCCACCAACACACCTCCTGAAGCTGTTTGCCCATCACCGTGGGAGAAGGAGCACAGAGATGTTACACGCCCACCTTTGGGGCTTCAACTGAAAGCATCCCACCCATAAACGGGACTTCTCAGGCTCCCAAAGTGGAACAGTGAGACACCTGCAGAAGACGTCATCGGAAGACATCAGGAGGAGAGCCACACGGAGGCTGCTGAGCACGGGGCTTTTTTCAGAGGGAGAAGGCAGCTGGGGAAGAGAAAAGGGGAAGAGAGAGGGGCTGAGATCATAAAGTGTCTGTTCTCCTCAGAGAACACAAACATTTCCTGGAAACCCGGGCGGGAAGTCGGCTGTCAGAGGTACTGACATTTCACAACGTCTGGGGGTGTGCAGGTGGGTAAACGGACATGCCTCCCTCTGAGACAGCATCTTCCTGGCACCTGAACTCACGGGAGGACCATGTCCACTTCTCTGGGTCACAAAATGTCTGGAGTCCCTGGCACTCGCTTCTCACGCAAAAATGCTCTCTGGAAATGAGAGCGTCTTGGAATTCATGGTGAGCTTGACTTATCTAAATCTCCCCCTGAGAATTATTTTTCAAAACGTGACAGCTTGTAATTATAAAGAAAAGTATCTACGGTTTTGAGATCATGCAGAAAAACATCGTAATATCGCATACTTTCCAATAAGCTAGCGTGTAGAGAACTCTGATTAAGGATTCTAAAATATATTTTTTGTCATTTTTCTACACCCAGGGTTTCATAAGAATAGTAATAGAAATGTAAGGGCTTAGCTAGGGGACACAACTCACATGACCGAATACAAGTGCGTACTAGCTGTAACTTAGGATCATTCTTTTTTTTGCATGTGTTTATAATGCCCAGTGGGAAGGGCATCTGAGGGTCTGGGGAGATGACTCCGTGGGTACAACTCAACACACAAACATGAGGGACTGAGTCTGGATCCTTGGAAAGAACCCACGTGAGAGTCAGACGTGGCGTCATGTTCTGTAGCCATCGCAGCATTCCACTGCAGAGAGGAGCAGCAGAAACGGGGAAACCTCTGGAAGATCCTGTCTCAGACAAGGCGGGATGTGAGGACCAGCACACGACGCTGTCCTCGGACCTTCACGTGCATACCACGCATGTTCATTCGCGTGCGTGCGCATGCACACCCAGGCACAGCGATGGGAACTGGACATGGAAACTTAGTTTAAAAAAATCTGATTTGCGATTAAGATTCTAACTGAAAGGAATTGAACGATAAGCTTAGAAGCAAAACACTGTTACCCTATTGTAATTTTCTCCAGAAGTGCAACATTTGGCAAAGGGATTTTCTCACCTA